TTAGCGTTGGCCATTGATCTACAAGACATATTTGCAAAGGTTTTAGACTATGTTCATGATAATAAAGTTCTAATCAAATTATGAACTCCCACTTAGATTAGACATCCCTTTAGTCATCTAAGTGTTACACGATCCGAGTCGACCAGCCCGTGTCCGATCATCACGTGAGACGGACTAGTCATCGTCGGTGAACATTTTCATGTTGATCGTATCTTCCATACGACTCGTGTTCGACCTTTCGGTCTCCGTGTTCCGAGGCCATGTCTGTACATGCTAGGCTCGTCAAGTTAACCCTAAGTGTTTTCGCTGTGTAAAACTGTCTTACACCCGTTGTATGTGAATGTAAGAATCCATCACACCCGATCATCACGTGGTGCTTAGAAACGACGAACTGTAGCAACGGTGCACAGTTAGGGGAGAACACTTCTTGAAATTTTATAAGGGATCATCTTATTTACTACCGTCGTTCTAAGTAAACAAGATGCATAATACATAATAAACATCACATGCAATTATATAGTTGTGACATGATATGGCCAATATCATATAGCTCCATTGATCTTCATCTTCGGGGCTCCATGATCATCTTGTCACCGGCTTGACACCATGATCTCCATCATCATGATCTCCATCATCGTGTCTTCATGAAGTTGTCACGCCAACGACTACTTCTACTTCTATGACTAACGTTTAGCAATAAAGTAAAGTAGTTTACATGACGTTATTCAATGACACGCAGGTCATACAAAAAATAAAGACAACTCCTATGGCTCCTGCCGGTTGTCATACTCATCGACATGCAAGTCGTGAATCCTATTACAAAGAACATGATCTCATACATCACAATTCATCATTCATCACAACTTCTGGCCATATCACATCACATGATCAATCGCTGCAAAAACAAGTTAGACGTCCTCTAATTGTTGTTGCATCTTTTGCGTGGCTGCAATTGGGTTCTAGCAAGAACGTTTTCTTACCTACGAATCACCACAACGTAATTTTGTCAACTTCTATTTACCCTTCATAAGGGCCCTGTTCATCGAATCCGCTCCAACTAAGGTGGGAGAGACAGACACCCGCCAGCCACCTTATGCAATTAGTGCATGTCAGTCGGTGGAACCGGTCTCACGTAAGCGTACGTGTAAGGTTGGTCCGGGCCGCTTCATCCCACAATACCGTTGAGCAAGAAAAGACTAGTAGAGGCAAGTAAGATGACAAAATCCACGCCCACAACAAAATTGTGTTCTACTCGTGCAAAGAGAACTACGCATAGACCTAGCTCTGATACCATTGTTGGGGAACGTTGCAGAAAATTAAAATTTTTCCTACGGTTTCACCAAGATCCATCTATGAGTTCATCTAAGCAACGAGTCAAGGGAGAGAGTTTGCATCTACATACCACTTGTAGATCGCGTGCGGAAGCTTGCAAGGTGATAATGGAGTCGTACTCGAACGTGATTCGAATCACCGATGACCAAGTGCTGAACGGACAGCACCTCCGCGTTCAACACACGTACGGGACGGGAGACGTCTCCTCCTTCTTGATCCAGCAAGGGGAAAGGAGAGGTTGAGGAAGACAGCTCCACCGGCAGCACGACGGCGTGGTGATGGTGGAGAGGCAGTACTCCGACAGGGCTTCGCCAAGCACACAACGGAGGAGGAGAGGTGTTGGGGAGGGGAGGGCTGCGCCTTGGAGGGTGGTGCGGCTGCCCTCCCCACACCCCTCTATTTATAGGGGGAAGGGAGAAGGGGGGCGGCCCCCTAGAACCCATCTAGGGGGGTGCGGCGGCCAAGGGGAGAGGGGGAGAGGGTGGCTTGCCCCCCAAGCCAAGGGGGCCGCCCCCTCTAGGGTTCCCCCCTCAACCCTAGGCGCAAGGGCCCAAGGGAGGGGGTGCGGCCAGCCCACCAGGGGTTGGCTCCCTGCCCCACGCAGCCCATGTGGCCCCCCGGGAGGGGTGGCCCCTCCCGGTGGACCCCCGGAACCCTTCCGGTGGCCCCGGTACAATACCGGTATGACCCCGAAACTTCCCGGTGTCCGTTTGACAACTTCCCATATATAAATCTTTACCTCCGGACCCTTCCGGAGCTCCTCGCGACGTCCAGGATCCCATCCGGGACTCCGAACAACATTCGGTAGTCACATACTAGTCTTCCTAATAACCCTAGCGTCACCGAACCTTAAGTGTGTAGACCCTACGGGTTCGGGAGACATGCAGACATGACCTAGACGCTCTCAGGTCAATAACCAACAGCGGGATCTGGATACCCATGATGGCTCCCACATGCTCCTCGATGTTGTCATCGGATGAACCACGATGTCGAGGATTCAATCAAACCCTGTATGCAATTCCCTTTGTCAATCGGTACGTTACTTGCCCGAGACTCGATCGTCGGTATCCCAATACCTTGTTCAGTCTCGTTACCGGCAAGTCACTTTACTCGTATCGTAATGCATGATCCCGTGTCCAACACCTTGGTCACATTGAGCTCATTATGATGATGCATTACCGAGTGGGCCCAGAGATACCTCTCCGTCATACGGAGTGACAAATCCCAGTCTCGATCCATGTCAACCCAACAGATACTTTCGGAGATACCTGTAATGCACCTTTATAGTCACCCAGTTACGTTGTGACGTTTGATACACCCAAGGCACTCTTACGATATCCGGGAGTTACACGATCTCATGGTCGAAGGAAGAGATACTTGACATTGGCAAAGCTCTAGCAAAACGAACTACACGATCTTTTATGCTATGCTTAGGATTGGGTCTTGTCCATCACATCATTCTCCTAATGATGTGATCCCGTTATCAACGACATCCAATGTCCATAGTCAGGAAACCATGACTATCTGTTGATCACAACGAGCTAGTCAACTAGAGGCTCACCAGGGACATATTGCGGTCTAAGTATTCACACGTGTATTACGATTTCCGGATAATACAGTTATAGCATGAACAAAAGACATTTATCATGAACATTGAAATATAATAATACTTTTATTATTGCCTCTAGGGCATATTTCCAACAGTCTTGCCATTGTATGTCTCAGGGTGAGGTTGCTGGATTTTGTGGCAGTATTTATTTCTCCATGGTAGTTTATTTTGTGTAGGATTAATTTAAGAGTGTCTTTGAATTGCAGGAAATAGAAAATATGTGGAAAAATAAATCACGAGATGAGATGTACTACAGGATTTTGAAACCCATGAGTTTTTTGTAGGAGTGCCTTGTGGATGGTTCACAGCAAATGAAGACAAATAAGTTAGAGATATGAGGAGAGAGTAAACGGAGATAAAAAAAAGTGCATTTGACTTGAATAAAAAGAACAAGGTATGAGCTCATGTTAGACTTCCTACGAGATTAAGGTCCAAGAGGTGTATTCTATGGGACTTTGATAACTATAGTTTTGGGTATGTCTAGATGGTGCCTAAAGCTCAACCTACCCAAAAAAATCCATGACCAAAACTTCAGGGCTCCATTGATTAAAAGGATTTTCACAGGAATTTTAGAAGGTTAGAATCCTTGGGAATTTCTCCTTTGTTGGTTGTTTAATTCATAGGATTGAATCATATAGGAATTGTTCCTAACGATTTCTTTGTACTACTCTCGATAGGATTTCTAGAATCCACTCGAACCTCTTTGAAAGAATCCTTTTGTTTTTTCTACTATGCATGCAAACAACCAAAAATCTTGTATGGTTGAGATGAGCATGGCATTTTTCATATTCCCGCATTTTTAGAATTGTGTGAATCAAAGAGGCCCGTCGGTGTTAGTTTCGATATAGTTGCCGATGCTTTTTCAAGCCAATGCCCGTATGCCCATAGTTCATTTTACTTGCTAATCTTGGCTAACTCATGGGCTAGCAAAAGTTTGACCAATTTTTTGGCTAGGAAAATAGGGTAGGCTAATCTTGGGGTAAATTTCCTTAATAATCGAATATCCCCAAAGTTTCTACAGAAATCCTGCAATCCAAACGGGATAGGCCCTCAATTTGTTGTTTAAAGCTCATACTTTGCTGCAACAATTATTGTCAATTTCTGCATCAGAACACTGTTGCTGCGCCGTGAGTCGCAGCATAGCCTGTACGTTCATTTGTAGCGCGGCCTGTTTACCTTTTTGCACCATTTAATACTGTTCATCTTCCAACAACAAAAAACTATATGAAATCTTAGAAATGAAGACGAACAAAGCTCATCCTACCAAAAGAATCGTCCATGACCAAAATTTTGGTGTTTGTTTCGATATAGTTGCCAATGTTTTGGCATGCCAATCTGTTTGTCCACTTTCATTCATTTTTCTTGATAATTACACCCTGTTCAAAATCGCTCCGCTCCACAACTCTGCTCCCGAAGCGGGCGGAGCTGCAGTTTCCTCGCTCCATTAATTCCGAGAGTCGATGGATTGCCGAACAAGGCGTTAACGTTCGCCAACTCATGGACTAGAAAAAGTTTGACCAAAATTTGGCATGGTAATCCTGGGGCAAAATTAATTAAGAATTGAGTATATCCCTAAAGTTTCAACAGAAATCCTGCAGTCCAAACGGGATATACCCTCAATTTGTTGTTCTAGAGCTCATACTTTGCTGCAACAATTATTGACAATTTCCGCATCATAACACTGTTGCTGCGCCATGAGTCGCAGCACAGCCGTACGTTTTCTTGTAGCGCAGCCTGTTTACCTTTCTGCACCATTTAATACTGTTCATCTTCCAATAACAAAATACAGTATATGAAATCTCAGAGATGAAGGCGAACAACATACAGATATACGGAGTATATGTCAGCGCTCAGAGAACAAGACATGCATGGATTACATCTTAATCTTAGAGGAGATAGTCATATTTGCAGTACATGATGATCAACTGCAAGCAGGGAGCTAATCGAGCAACTAATGAATCATCACACGGGGGGACAAGAGTACAAGACCGGGGATTGATCGATCTTGCTTGCCACAAGGATACATCGATCGAGAGACGGAGGTCCCGATTCCGGTGGGTCAGAAGGCGAAGAAGCGCTTCTTGGCCTTCTTGGCGCCGCCGTGACCGATGGAGTCGGCGGCGGCGAGGTTCTTGGCGATGAGCTCCTGCGCGCGGCGGCTCCTGATCTCCACCCGCGTGCTCTCCGTCTTGCCCACCTTGTCGTAGCACGCCGCCGCCGCCGCCTCCTGGTCCTCCCCCTGCTTCTTCCTGGTCAGCCTCCTCTTGATGCCGTCCACGAGCCTCGCCAGCTTCCCCATCGCCGCCGCCTCCAAGTTGCGTGGGAAATCTACGGGGAAGACGATGGTATGGATGGATGGATAGATGGAGAGCGGCGCTCAGGTTAGGATGTATATATCCGTTTCAATGCGCTCGCTGATTACCGGGGGAGCAGTTTGCTTTGGGCGGAAGAGACGGCGGTGGTGGTGGGTTGGGACTCGTATGGATGGATGGATGGATGGATGCGTGCATGGGCTGCGCTGGGCGCCGTTACTCTCCTCCGCCGGGGGTCACGTTGGCCAACACTGTTCATTTCCGGTAGGGAGCGCGTGGAAGCCACCGGAGCCGGCCGGAGGCCGCTGCTGGGCTGGCTGACAAGTGTCCCCACCTGTGGGGCGCGCCCTCGCGGTGACAGGTGTCCATAAGTAGTCTTTATTAATTGCACATTTATCTCTCTCAACTTTTACCAAATTATTCGCCTTGCATGCATGCATCCTGACCTGGCTTTGTCTTTGTGCACTGGATGGTTGGTTACTGCCAAGTCTAGGTCGTTGCTTGAGGCGGCAATGGTGTCCATCGTTGGAGATGGGCACCGGAGCACTTTTTGGATTGACATTGGATGGATGGACTAAGAATTTTCCATAAGTAGTCTTTAATTGCACATTTATCTCTCTCAACATTTACCAAATAATTCCCCTTGCATGCATCCTGACCTGGCTTTGTCTTTGTGCACTGCATGATTTGGTTATGGGCTATGGCTCAAGCGCCGGATCTCTACAAGCCTTGGAGAGGGGCGGCAATGGTGGCCGTCGTTGGAGATGGATGGTCCAAGAAATTTTCCTAACCTCTTCCAGTGCATCTCCTCTAGGACCAAGATGAAGCACTTCATGGCCAAGGTTCTTAAATGACGGCTATTGGATCTCCAACATTGGGCCAAACTTGAGCATCGGCGCGCGATGCATGACTTTATGATGCTTAAGTCATCATGTCAAAAGGTGTCCCCGATTGGAAGAGGGGAGGAATGGCGTCTACTCATCGAGAATGGCACATCATGAATTTTTCATTTGCAGTTGACACTCCGGTGTATGAGACACCATGCAACTCTCGTGTGTCACTGGGTTGTCACTTCTTCATGTGGCTTGTGTCGCGGAACAAATGTTAAACTTCTGATAGACTGGCATGATCTGGACTTTCTCATCAACCGATGTGCACCTTTTGTGATCCGCATGATGAAAGCACTTATCATCATATGATAGGAGGTACCTGCCCGACAGTATGAAACTCCCGAACCTTTCCGAGGCACCTTGTGTAGCACCATGCGGAAAGCAGATTAGTACCTGCCCGAGGCTCCTCGGTCTTGGAAAGGTAGTGCATGAGATCTTCTAATCCAGGGCGGCGACGGAATCTCCACACAATCTTCACGCATGTTTTTTTGGAGCTATGGCGACACGAGAATGATGTCATCTTTGACATGGCTTCACCCTCGTCGAGAACTTGAGATAGCTTCTCTGTTGTATTCATAGGAGGGAGCCCAAGGCAAGTCTTTTACATACGCGGGGAGAAGTCTGGATCAGGGGAAAACTTCTACATTTTAAACTAGAGACTTTTCTTTGATCGTTGAGTAGGTGGATTTTGGATGATTAGTTTTTTTTGCGCATTTCCATTTCAAGGAGGTACACGTTTATCGGGTCATTTAGGTGGATTTTAGACCATTGATTTCATAATAATGACCGTCCATTTTTCTTTTATATAAGATGAGTTTTTTTACCTTATGCATTTACTCTAAAGGAACCATAATGGCCTTCCAAGTTTTAACAAGACCGGATAATGAGTTGGAGTAAGTCTTGCCTTTTTTTAGAAATACAAGGCCCGAGGCCCGGTGTTAAACTAATAATGACACCCTCAGATAGACAAGAACAACACCACACCACACCACATAGCACAACAACAAAAATGAAAACAACATGAGTGTGCTGAGGAACAACACATAACAACGAACGGACAAAAATAGAGAAGAGAAGCATTGCTTGGAATCATCAAACCCTCATAGCAAAGAGAGAGAGAGAGAGGCCATCTCGAGAGGGATACTAGCCATCAAGGTAGGTCATGCCATCGCCATCACCTGCTCAGGTACAACAACGCTAGCTAGTTACATCAGCACCCTCGAGCGGTGAAAACGCTCACCCTAGGCCCTGTAACACCCCGGATGTAACTTTCCCTATTTATACTCCAACTCTTGCCGTTTCCGGCGTTAAGTTATATTTATTTCCTCGGGTTTGGGTCTTTGTCTCCGTGTGTTGTTTTCGTTTTCATGCATCTCATATCATGTCATCATGTGCATTGTATTTTCATACGTGTTCATCTCATGCATTCGAGCATTTTCCCCGTTGTCCGTTTTGCATTCCGGCGCTTCGTTCTCCTCCGGTGGTCATTTCTAGCTTTGTTTCGTGTGTGGGGTTTAATCATTTCCGGATTGGACCAAGACTTGTCTTGCGGCCTTGGTTTACTACCGGTAGACCGCCTATCAAGTTTCGTGCCATTTGGACTTCGTTTGATACTACAACGGTTAACCGAGGGACCGAAAAGGCACCGTGTGTGTTGCAGCCCAACACCCCTCCAATTTGGCCCAAAACCCACCAAACTCTGCTCCATGTCCTAAAGCGTTCAATCACGATCGCGTAGCCGAAAACCGCACCTCATTTGGACTCTCCTAGCTCCACTTATGCCTATAAATAGACCCCTCTGTTTTCCGATCTCTCTCCCTCTCCGAAACCCTAAAATTGCCCCCGCCGTCACCGGACATGTCCGCCTCCTAGCGGACGAAACCGCCGCCGCCGCCTCAGCCAGTCCGCTGCCGCCACGTGGCACTCGCCACCTCGCCGCCGCCGCGGCCCGGGAGGCCCGAGTCGGGCCCCCGAGGCCCGTAGCCGCCGCCGCCGCCCGGGTCATCCTCCGCCGCCCGCGCTGCCCTTCTTCTCCGGCGCCGACGCCGCCTCTTCTCGCCGCCGACTCGC